TAGATAGATAGATAGATAGATAGATAGATAGATAGATAGATAGATAGATAGATAGATAGATAGATAGATAGATAGATAGATAGATAGATAAATATAATAAAGGCACAGGTAATCCTTGTTACCTTTGTTTTACACTAAACTTTAAACTTTAAGCTAAACTGAGGCAGCACACACATGCAACACATTGAAATAAAAAGACTTATTGGAAAAAATGTAAACATAATTAAATATAAACATTCAAGAGACACAAATGCATGTACAAATAAAAAGAAAATAATTAAAATACATGTAAAAAACAGTAAAATTTTAATTATGTGATAAAAATATAGACTAATTTATTGAAACTAACCTGGAAAAATACATATGAAAGGCAATTAAAATATAAAACAGGAGATGAAGTTTTCTAATTGATGCCTTTTAAGTGTATTTATTTAGTGTTTCATATAATTCTGCTTTTATTTATAATTATGTCAGTTTTGGTCCTCCATACTGCAGAAGCCTGCGATCACCTATTCATTCATATCAGGTGTGTTGGAGCAGAGAAACAAGTAAAACATGCAGGGCTGCGGCCCTCCAGGACCAGAATTGCCCATGCCTGGCATATGCAGTAAGTGGTCATGTATCTGTGGGCGGACAGTTTGTCCGAAGTCTCCCGCTCATTCCGGACTGCTCAGTCGAGCWCAAGCTGTATGTGCTCATCCCTTACAGACAAAAAAAAAGTTTGCACCTCTCCCCTCCAGGAGGAGTCGGCTCAGTCACTCCACGTGCCGCAGTCTGCTGATGTCAAAATTGTTTGTGTGCAGTACTCAGCTGCCTGGAAGCACAACTGATATGGATCCAAAAATCACAAAAAAGGGCAGCCAATGTAAAATGAACTATTTAGTCTTATGACTATGTTAAATCAGTCAAAAATAATGTTGATCGTCAATAAATCTGTGGACAACTGAACAGAAACATTTTAGTTGGAATTCCTCTGAAGCCCAATAAATCAACTCCCCTGAGGTCCAAAACAATCCTGTTTTATTTAGCTTGGTATCTCCTCATTAAAGCCATATGTCAGGAAAACCGTCAGCGTGCGAACTTTGGAAATGCAAGGTCGACTGAAACCGTTTCTAATAACGCCAACCAAGGGTGTTGTCTGTCAGTGCTTGATKGGCAGGTGACAGCAGATGTTCAGTGTCTTGGGAAGGATGGGGGGGCCCACAGTGAGGGCAGGGCAGAAGGAGACACACGAGATAATGCACTTTGTATTGACATGGAAACAATAACAAGATCCTTTCTTCTCTTTTGTAATGACGTCTTTACCCCCACCCTCTCCATCTCCCCCCGTTCACCAGCCGTCCTCAGTCACTCACTTGTCTTCTTACTTTGGGCTGAGAATCAATCTTCTAATGGACGTCACATTACACACTTTGCCAAAAGTTGTTCTCCATCTTGCTGTTTCTAATCACAAGTACATGCCAAGTTACACCAAAAGAAAGCTAAGCAGGGATTCTTGGAACGTTAGACAGTCTCAAGGTTAAAAAAACGTTTCCATCATTCTAATGAAATTTTGTGGTAAGAAGTAAGTAGACACGTCAGGACCAAAAAAACATCTTTTAAATCACCCAAAGAGCAATCACCTCGACGTGCACAGCCCACCTAACAATTAAACGCTCATTACATCAGGACTCTGACAGCATCATTCATTAGTTTAATTTACTTTCCTTTTGCGTCACTCGCCTAACTTTTCCACATGGTTCCAAAAACTCTCCTCTGATCACAGAAAATATTTCCATCAGCAAAGTCTGGAGCCTAGAGAAAAACAAATACAGCATAAATCAAAATGAAAACAATAAAGAAAAAAAAACACTCTATGCGTCCATGAATAAATTCTCATCATCGGAGTGATACTCAAAAGGCGATTATATGCAGATGTTTTGCTGAAAAACGAGCCTTTCCATCATCCTGGCATCAGTGTTCATGCAAGCTCAGAGTATTAACAGCCCATATGTTATATATGTTATATATATATATAACAGCCTGTATGTTTCATGTTCCTTGTATTGCCATGCCATGCCATGCCATGCCATGCCGAGTGGGTTTATTTTTTGAGCTGCCCTGACAGCATTTTTTTGTTTAATAAATCTTTATTTTTGCCTTTTTTTTTTTAAACTGCCTGCACACTGGGTTCTTTCCTGCCAGAAAATCATTACATGTACAAACTAAAAGTGGGCGTGTTGCATTTGATCTACTAAGAAAGTGAATGCAAACGAGGTGAAAAAGTTGTACAGTACGCCCTATTGAAATGAGGGTGTTTTTTTGTGTTCTGCTGGCTGTAGGGTTTCCAGCTGTCCCATGTTTTAAGCCAAATTAAGGTGTCCCACATGGGGCACTCTGTTTACTGAGGCCATCAGCAGCTGAAAAGTTGTAAGGAAAAAACAAAAATAAAAACATTGAGTTGACTAAATTCTCTTGAATCTATCGTTTTACATGGAAACAATAGAAACAAAATTSAATCATGTTTAGATGAATGTAACTCAAATGTCGGGGAAAAAATATTGTGTGGTGAGGTCATAATCGCCACATCAAGTTCTCTCCCAGTATTTTGCGCGGTCTAAAATTGCGTCTGCTGTTTTGCTCGTTTAACCGGCACAATCCTCTTTGCACACGCTTAATAAATCAGCTTTGTGTTTTTTCATTTGATTTAATTTATTGTTTAGGAATATGACAAGTAATTAACAATTCAATGCAGAAAATGCTTAAGTCTTGATCTAAAATGTTTTCAGTCAGAAATCTGTTTCAAATCTGTAAGTAGGGAGTTCCACAATCCCTCCAGCAGAAAAGCTGTTTGACCCAAATATGTTTTACACAAAGGAATCATTAGGCCTTCATGTGTCCCAGTGATGGACTTGTTACCTGTCCAGGTGTCCCCCACACTCACACAGTGACTGCTGGACACAGGCGTCAGCTGCACAACCTGGAAAAGAGAAGCCAGTAAAGAAAATAAATGTTTACAGTCTCCTGTTTACCCTCAACTTTGAGTTTTTATTGCCAACTTTTTTTAGAAATAATCTCCTGTATGCAAAACCAAATGTCTCAGGAAACAGCTAGCTGATTATTTATTTATTTATTTTCTCCTTCCACAAAAAGTTCTCTCCTTTTGGGATGTTTGAAGGTTTTCTCGTCTAAACTGCCTGATTCAAATCCTTGTCTGATCTTAACCAGTAACAGCCAGTCCTGTGATGTCATTTCAAGGTTTTTAAAGGTTTCTTCTCATCAGATGCTCTGCTCTCCGGCTCAATTAGCAGCAGCAACCATTTCAAGGTAAATTGGAAATAATTTGAAATCTGTGCTAGTTGGTAGATGTGCTAGATATGATTTTTTCCCCTCAATAGACATCTAATAATCTGAAGACCTCCTTAAATCTGACGCACATGCAGCCATCCACCCACCTTTTTCCTGGAGGCCTTGGAGAGCTCATTAGATCTTGACAGGATGGTAAAGCACACTTCAACAGCAAAGAGAATGCCAGGACCTTGATTTTAAATGTTCAAAGACAGGTCACATCTGTGACTTCTGAAGGWGGGTTTAATCATTTAATCTGCTTCCTTTATTTCACTTTTTATGTATTTGAAGGCAAGACTTAAGATGATTATCTCTCTTTTTTAATTCAAATGATAAAAAATGCTCCTAAATGTATTTTTTTGGTTCATTTAAAATCACTTAGAAGATGACAAATTGCAAATTTAAAATTATTCATTCTTTTATCAACATATCATTTGTTATATTTAAGTATGCATGCAAAGCAAGTTCTTATTTACAGTACATTGTGAAATGTTGGAGCAGTTTGATTAAATTGACTGTCAACATGGATTAGGCAGGTCAAGTTTTAAGAGGAAAACCGTTTAATTTGATTCAGACAAAGTAGGTGCTGAAGTTGGGTCAACAAGTAAAACAAACAGTCCAAAAGAAGTTACATTTTAAAAGTTGATGTTCAAAAACAACGTGTAAAAGATGAGGTTTCTTTTCACTTATTTAGTCAAAAATTGATCAAAAACTCAATCTGCATCAGTGATGAATGATAAAGACTATCCACTTTTTACAGAGGGATATTTTATTTTTATTTATTTATAACTCTTACAGATTTTGCAGTTAGATTTGTCATCATTCAGTCTTCCCAGATCTGACTTCTGCACAGATAAAAAAAGATAGACAAGACAAGATCAGCTCATGTGGGAAATTCGGTTTGATTAAAAATATCTTCATTTCCACACACGTAATGACATTTTTTTGGAAACTGTAGTTCTTACATAAAAACTTAAACATTAAAAAAGCAGATAAAAAGTGATTGAAAAAAAATCATGTTCCTTTTATGTGTTTAATGTTACAGCAAAGAGAATCTGGAAAAAATAAATAAATAAAATAAATAAAAAACATGATCAGATTAGATCTGTGAGCTAAAACTTTAATACAGCATCAGAAAAATGATTATTTGCTTTAATCTCACATTTGGTGGCCGGCTGGATCTTGAGGAAATTAGGTAGACTTTTGTGGCTTCCTTTTATGTTAAACACAATGGGCCTCATGCAAGAACATGTTCGTATTCTTATCCTAAATTTTCTCTTACTTTTATTCGTACAAAGGGTTCGTAC